CATCGCGTTTTACTACCATTATGTGACCGAGGCTTAATTTTTTAAAAAAACTAAGTAATGCACCTACATTTAATTAATTACATAATATCACTATTTTTAATATGATTATAAATGACAATAATTGTTCAAAAATATTAATTTTGATAGCTCAAATTATAAGCAGTTCATCAGTACCTATGAAATGGAATATGGGAATGGAATACGTATAATGTATGTCTGTAATGGAATACTCGCATATTGTTATATTATCATAATTTCTTTGAGGATTTATTGTTGTTGCTGGATGTTGTTAGTCCCCCCTCCAAAAAAAATCTACTTAGATTAAGTTTAATCTTTTCATGGGACGGTTTCAGTGGCGTCTAAAGAGTCGACCCCTTCTACTATTTTTTCCGATTCGAATAATAATATAATATATAGTATAACACACGTGAGATATAATATACACAGTGCTGCAGGGATGATGTGGTCGGCGTAAACGTATGTTATATATAATAATAGGGTGGTTTCGCAGTTATTATTTGTTCGCATTGCGTATATATTGTATATATATATAAACTAGGGTGAACCTGCCGCCTGCGGGGGACTCGGAGCCGTCGAAGAGGCGAATTCACCAAACAAAATTACACGGCGCACAATGGTGCTCAAAATATATAATATAATTTGTGTGTGTGTAGCAGCAGCAGGTCGTCCGTGTCACGTCTGTGCGCGATGATCCGATACGACCGCCGATAAGAGAGCGCGAACAACACACAACTGCCGTATTGTACGACTGATTCGTATATAATGTTATGTAGGTATATAATATAATAATATGTGTAATAGCCGACCGAGATGAAACTAACGAGAAGAGATCGAAGAGTTGCTGCAGCGAGAGAGCCGGTCCGGACCGCCGGTCGGGGGCGGGGTACGATGATTGGGCGATTTTCGCTCTGCCGAGTTATTCTCTTTTTTTTTTTTTCACCATACGTGATGGTGCATCAGTAGTGTGGTGTGTCTCGTAACGATTTCGTTGCGTCGTATATTATTTTATGTAGGTACCTCTATACATATAGGTAGGTGGGTTACCCGTGTATATATACCGTTCGGTCTATGTAGGTATATACGTACGTCGCGTCGTTCCCATCGTGCGACTGCGGCGGCGGCCGCCGCACACAATGGCCCCCAGCCCAGCCGGTGACCTTTTGGCGCGGGGAGGTATATAACAATATTAAATATATATACACAGACGAAAGAGAGAAGGAAACGAAAGAATAAAAACCGACTTTTATCCTTATATCCTTTGACGAGCGCGTTGACGCAATACCAAAGTGATAATTAAGACATCCGAATCGACACGAGGCCGCCGCGCGTTGTTCGCCGGCACAAATCTTACATATATAAAACATATACGTACACTACGACGCGCCTATATAATAATAATATAATATACCTACTCATATTATATATACACCGATATAGGCACCCGTAACTATATAATATTGTGTTTAATACACGTTGGCCGACCCGCGCACACACGCTCACACGGTCGCTGACTGCACATGCGGACGCACAGCCCGGCGCCGCTGTATGGAGGTAACACGTAGGTATATAAGATATACAGATATAGGTATAATGTATATATATATATAATAAAATATTATGTGTGTGTGTAACCGTAGTAAAACGAGTTGTGCGCACCTTTCAATTTCACACGTCACTCGGCCGTCCGCCGCCGCGGTAGTCTTCGCTGCCGGGACGGACACCGTGCGAATAATAATAATAATTATTATTATTGTTAATTTAGAGCTCGAGACTTAATGCTCTAAAAACGAATAAAACATGCATATGCAGTTATTATGCGTTACAAAAATAAAACGAAAATATGCACATATATTATTATTATTCATGAATCGCGATTATACATTTACAATTGTGGCAAGTTCATTTTGAATACTATTAAACCATACAATATTAATAAGATTCTATATTATACCGTCTACACCGCATCTAGTATCTACTACAATCAAGTTCACAATATAGATGTACACAAAATAGGCGTCACACGAAGACGTATTATATTACGTAGGTACAATAAAATATAAGAGCTACGGAGATTAAATATTGTCGGACATAACACGACAGGCCACAAGATTAAAATCTAAAATAAACATCTTAATTTTCCAAGTTTTTAATCTGCGTGATATTAAATATTAACAAATATTTACGCTAAAACCGTTTCTAATGTGGGCATTAGAAAATGATAAAAACCTGCAGTGTTTTCTGTAAAATCTCAATAAATAAGTGAATAATAATTAAATCTTCATTCGTAAAGCAATAAAATTAATGTATAAAAAACTTACTTAACAATATGTATATATTTATATGCTCAAAAAATAAAAAAACACTCAAATTTCACAAAATTTAAACTTTAATTACCTATATAATATGGTTGTATGTTTAGTCGGTATATATTTAATATTATATACGATGATATATTAGGTTCACCTACCTAAGACCTACCAATATAATATATCGTGTACAATACGCGCGTGCCGTACACCGGGTGTATGAGACCAGTGCCCTATAATAGTCTTATATATACGTTATAAACTCATAAATAATTGTTATGTAACGTGTAAAAAATAATCAGACTGCTCGCGAACACACACGCGTTAAATATCGTCGTACAAAAATATATACATCGTGGGCTCGCTGCAAAACTCGAGCGATCGTTATCGCGGCGAAAAACGGGACGAAAACCCCGCGAGTGTATATAGTTTCGGGCCGTCGGCATAATATATTTTAATAATTGCGAGGCGCATCCCGAACGAATATAGCAATATAAATGTAAATTATACGTATAGGTATTTGTGTGTGTGTGTGTGTGTGTGTGTGTGTGTGTGTGTGTGTGTGTGTGTATGTGTCTGTGTGTATATAAATATATACGAGCGCTGCAGTTGTCCCGTCATGCGCAGGTGCCGAGCGTTTCCCGCTGTTTGATAAATCGCCCCGGACGGTTATTACTATTATTATTATTAATTTTTTTTTTGACGCCGTCGATGATACGATACGACGATTATAATAATAATTATTGTTTTTTCGCGAGTGTATATTAATAATAATATAACACCAGACTCTGCGGCGAATCCACTATATAGGTACCTATATAATGTTATATACACGCGGCAGGATGCAAGCACAAATTATACGCTCGGTATTACGGCTACCACCAGTTACGGGTATTCGACATCATTTCGAGACGTAAACGACCGCAAAAGAACGGTTTTCGTCTAAAAATATTTAACGATTTACTACTACATACCTATATAGCTCAGAGTATTATACACACAAACACTGTTATTATAATTCATTATAATATTATGTGTGTGCGTGTTATATGCGTTCTGCTCCTATTCCCGCAAGTCTAATTAAAAGCGCGAAGAATGCGTGGCGCGTGTGTGTACATTGGTGGCCACGCGTGCACCGCCGAGAGAGGAGAGACCCGACAAGAAGATATACGTCCGCGAGATCGAGCGGTCACGACGACGTGGGCACGTGCGTAATATTGTAATAATAATAATAATATATACGTATGTAGGTGATCTATACGAAATAACTCGGCGGGGACGCACAGGACGAGATAAAATATATATTGTGTGTACGGTGCGGTTGTGATGTCGTCTGTTGGTCGGGTGCCAGTGCGCGCGCGGCGGTCGGTCGCAGGACTTTATATTTTTTAATTGCTTCCAGAAGTTTTCGTCCGCGATTTAATTTAATTTATATTATCTCGGAGACGTTGAATAATTGCCACCCCCACGACCCGCCACTATATAAGTATATTAAAGCACGTAGGTATATAATGAAGTACCTATATAATATATAGGTGATATTATATATAGTGCTGTAGCTTCGTCTACAGGTTGGCCTATCATTTTAAATACGACAAATTATCTTACATTATACATTTATACAAAGCGATATATATTAACGAAATTACCTTTCATGATCAGCCAATCTTTTGATAAGAAAACCAGATAGTCGAATTACTAAGCAATGATGGTAGTATATAAGATAATGAGTGGAAAAAAATCCAACACATAAATGTGCAGTAGGTATATGTGGTATTATGTGGGAATATGTATGTTATGTCTGAAAAAGTCGTGCTTATTATTAGGCATTTTGGAAGAGATGAAAACTCGAAGGTCAGCGTATTGTCAATCGTCATTACGTATATTATATTCTATAATATAATATGTGTTTGATGTTTTATCCCGAAGATCTACAATGACAGTTTGTACCTATTTAAGTACAACCATTGTATAGGGAAATCTTTTTTTTTAATTATCGTGACTTTGTGAGGCACATAAATAAAAACAAAAATGAATATCGATAACTGCATGTTTTGTATAAAGTAAAATATCATAGATCTCTATACAATCTATCATATATAGATGTATTGTATACTAATGCTACCTATTGGAGATAGATTTGTCATGACATTAGTGAAAATAATTATCAAGAAAAAATAACAAAATACAGTTGTTAATACGCTTAAGTTATGTATTTTTCCAAAGTAAGTCAAATATAGATAAATTTGTTAATTTGTTAGTACCTACCTACATAATATATAACATTATACAGTCAACTCGCGATATAACGAATATCGATATAACGAAAATCTTGATATAACGAATAAAACTACCAGTCCCTTGAAAATATCGCGGTATAATATAATTTCGATGTAACGAACTTTCGATATAACGAATTTTTTTCTCGGTCCCTTGAAGTTCGTTATATCGCGAGTTGACTGTAATATGTATTACCTAACAGCTAATACGAATTTTAAGACACCCGCGTAACCACTGCAGCATTATAAGTATTTCGTCTATTTTAAAATTGCGTGAAGTATACAACTAATAAGACAGGTGGCATCCCTGTCCACACACTGCGAATTCTTCCTTATACATACTATTATAATATGATACGCAAAATATCGTGAGTATAACAAACGTAGGCCTCACCTTTGGTAGTCGGCCTTGCAGTATATGTTGCCGTCGCGGTAGAAACATTTGATTTCGGATGCCAGGGTCCGGGCGCACTGCGAACACTGCAGACACGAGGCGTGCCATCTCTTGTCCACCGCGAACAGATAGTAACGGTCGAGGATTTTCAGACCACACCCGTCGCACAGGTTCACCTCGACCTGTTCCCGTTTGGGCCGGACCATCATGTCCGCGGCCGGCGGTGACGACTCGTAAGCGCCACCACCGCCGTAAGACGTCACGAGGCCGGACGGCGGGGGAGGCGACGACGACGACGGTTCCGGCGGTGACCCGTAGCCACCGCCGAGATGGTGGTGGTGATGGTGGTGCAGTAGCTGGTGATTGTGATTATGGTGTCCGGCGGGTGACGATCCCAAACCGTGGCCGGCGTCGCGTTCCTGCTTGCACGGGACCGCCTGCAGCGGGCCGCCGCGGTAGTCATCGCGTCCCATGATGGAAATCGGAGGCGGTGGCGGTGGCGGAGACACCTTACTGCAGCAGTCTGCAGTGGTGCAGTCGTCGTCGAACTCTGACTTGAACGCGCAACATTGCCCGTGCACGCCGCCGCCGACCACGCCGACCACGCCGAATACGTTGGTCGTATCCTGGCCGCGGCACGACGTGGTCGGCAGGTTGGGGCTCAGGTCCCTGGACGGGTCGTACGGGTTGGCCAGCATGGTGTGATGGCGGTCATGCTGCTGATATGCAGCACAAAACAAATAAACAAAAAAAACACGTTATAACAATGAGCATCGCAATAATATTATATTATAAATTATACAACGCTAACGTGCTGTAGTGATCACAAATTAATATTTTTGAGGGTCACCTTATGAAATGTGTACGTTTTGGGAGTCATCAAAATTGAAGAATATTTAGAAATATAATAAGTAGAATAGGTAAAAGAAGTAAAAATAATAAAATAATATAAAATCGATGAAAACTTCATTTAAATCACGACGTATATTCTTATCACCACAAAATGTCTTGTGATGGCCAGATAAAGTTTGTCAACTCGCCACCATTTGGTGACCCTTTTTTCAATATTACATTATATAGTCACACCCCGATATCATCGTCATTTACTAATATTAAGTTGTAACATACACTAATAAATTCGGAGCAGAAACGAAGTGTTGAATAAAAAACTGTAAGTTTCGGGTTGCAGAAAAATTTCGATCGAAATGTCGTAGGTATACAAAATATTATGTGCCACCACTTTCAAGCAACACTTCGGACGGTGAGCGATTTGAAGGGACTCAAACGCGTTCACGTTTTCAGAATTTGGCCTTCCGAGCAGATGAGATTCGCAAGCGATAGTTCAGACTTTTAGAGGCGAACAAGAAAATTGATGGCTGTGCGAGAACCATAACATTATGTATATAGGTAAAGAGTAAAGACCGAATACAAACAAGATCGTATCGAGAATCGAGAACCTAACCAGTTTTCGAGAATATACAACCAGATGTCCGTATTATATACCTATAAAATATTATATCTGACAAAATATCGATAACACGGTTTTATTTTAATCTAGACGAAGAACGAGTCTCGGATTACTTTTATTGTACACGCGAATTAATTTCTACGACGCGGACGACCGCGACGACGTATTCGATGCGGCGGCGGCGGCGGCAGAAGTAGGTAGTCTTTTCACGCGATTCGATTGTATTAGGTATATTATTATTACGAGACGAGAAAAGAAATTTGACCGAGGGCGAGTAAAATCGGTTTAGGCGAAGACTACGGCCCTTGCAGGGGTGGGTTCGAAACGAGGTAAAAATAATATGTATGCGAAATCCCTCTGTTATTATTATTTAGAGTATTATTATTTCTATGCCCTCACACGTTGTAGCGTCGTCATCACAGTCGTTGTCGTCGTCTCGGATGTCAAGTACCATCGTCAGTATATACATAATAATAATAGGTATATGATGGACACGCAAGAAAAAAAAGAATAAAAGAAATGCACAGCACAACACAAAAGGGACAATGGTCATTTTCGCAAATATATATAATCACGAGGCGGGACGAGTTTTCTATTTCAGGTGCGTTTTTATATACTATTATATATATTATACGATCGTCTCGTTATTACACATTATTATTATCATTATTATTCTCGCGCTACCGAATTCCGCCAAATCAACATTCTCTCGCAGTCTCTCACAAATACATGTACACGCTTACACGTAGATACTTCACTTCACATCACACTTATTCGGGAAAAAAAATACCCATTCACCACTACAACATACACTATACGTACGTTTATATATTATTATTTATATTATATAAAATACGTAACACAATGATAATAATAAAAGGTCACGGCGACGAAGTGTATTATCGAGTGGTTATTGTGCTCGAATGCCCCTGGTTTTTTTTTCATATTATTATTATTCCACCGCCACCGGGTCAAATAGGGTAAGGACAGATGTCAGGCGCTCATATAGGGTTTGCCCTTGTTGAGATGACAAATCAAAAATAGAAATAAAATAATACACGACGGCGGTCACCTGTAACCCCCGCCCTCAGCCACCCACATGGCAATGATTATCGTCGATCTAATAAAATAATAATAAATAATAATTTTGTAATAGACGAGCCCGCGTCGTACACCAGCTTTCTGTGGTGATTATTATTATTATTATTTTAAAAGTCGGTTTATCATTTCTTTATTTTCTAATAGGTATACATTATTGCTGTACAAAGTGTGTCGTTGGCCTGAGATTTTCCACGGAGTGATCCGCACTAACGTGAAACTGGCACTACAAAGTTGGCACAATAATCTAAAACCATTCCAACAAACTCTACTCGGACTTGTTGGACGTTGTTGGACAATTGTTGGAATTTGTTGGAATGTATTTCAAAAGTTATTCAAGTTCAAAGTTTGTAGTGCCAACTACATGGCCAGCACTACATATGCAAATAAAAACTTTAAAACTCTACCAACAATACTCATATAACATTGTTGGACATTGTTAGAAACTTGTTGGAATTTGTTGGAACGTATTTCAAAAGTTATTCAAGTTCAAAGTTTGTAGCGCCAACTTCACAACCAGCACTACAAATAAAAATAAAACCCTAAAAACAGATCCAAAAATATACACATACAATTTTGAGAAGTTGTTGGACTTTTGTTAGACTTCGTGTTAAGTAGTTAAAATTGGTTCATATAAAAAATAATATAACAATTAAAAATTAAAAATTGTCATTATATTGAATCCTCGTATCCAACAACCTGAAAACTTGGTCCAAAAAACTTGTCTACACATCTTAGAAGAAGAAAAAACATTCCAACAACCTTTCTAAGTTCTACAATCACCATTTTCTTCTGGCACTACATTTTTCAATTTACACATATTATTCATATTGACATTTTTTTTTTTTCATATAATTGAGTTCTGGTGTCCAACAACTTTAAAAAGTGGTCCAACAAACTTGTCTACACATCTTAGGAGAAGAAAAAACATTCCAACAACTTTTATAAGTTCTACAATCACCATTTTCTTCTAGCACTACATTTTTCAATTTACCAAATTATTCATATTGACATTTTTTTTTTCATATAATTGAGCTCTGGTGTCCAACAACTTTAAAAAGTGGTCCAACAAACTTGTCTACACATCGTAGAAGAAGAAAAAATATTCCAACAACTTTTCTAAGTTCTACAATCACCATTTTTTACTAGCACTACATTTTTCAATTTACACATATTATTCATATTGACATTTTTTTTTTCATATTATTGAGTTCTGGTGTCCAACAACTTTAAAAAGTGGTCCAACAAACTTGTCTACACATCTTAGGAGAAGAAAAAACATTCCAACAACTTTTATAAGTTCTACAATCACCATTTTCTTCTAGCACTACATTTTTCATTTTTTAAACTAATATTCACATTAAAAATTTTTAAATGTCGTTATATTAAGATCTGGTGTCCAACAACTTTAAAACATGGTCCAACAAACTTGTCTACACATCGTAGAAGAAGAAAAAATATTCCAACAACTTTTCTAAGTTCTACAATCACCATTTTTTACTAGCACTACATTTTTCAATTTACACATATTATTCATATTGACATTTTTTTTTTTCATATAATTGAGCTCTGGTGTCCAACAACTTTAAAATGTGGTCCAACAAACTTGTCTACACATCTTAGGAGAAGAAAAAACATTCCAACAACTTTTATAAGTTCTACAATCACCATTTTCTTCTAGCACTACATTTTTCATTTTTTCACCTAATATTCATATTAAAAATTTTTAATTGTCGTTATATATAAGACAAAGAAATAATTGGCATAACGCAAATTAAAAAAATTTTTATTTTTATAGTGATTTTCTTTTTATTAAACTTTGATTTCACAACATTTGTCTTTAGATAGTATTTACATCTATTAACTCGTAAGGACAAGTCGTCATGGCATTCCCAATATCCGGATACATGTTAATAGATGTAAAGACTCAAGAAAGATAAAACCACACACAATGCTATTTACAAAACAAGAATAACAAATGTTGTGAAATCAAAGTTTAATAAAAAGAAAATCACTATAAAAATGTAGTGCTAGAAGAAAATGGTGATTGTAGAACTTAGAAAGGTTGTTGGAATGTTTTTTCTTCTTCTAAGATGTGTAGACAAGTTTGTTGGACCACTTTTTAAAGTTGTTGGACACCAGAACTCAATAATATGAAAAAAAAAATGTCAATATGAATAATTTGGTAAATTGAAAAATGTAGTGCTAGTAAAAAATGGTGATTGTAGAACTTATAAAAGTTTATGGAATGTTTTTTCTTCTCCTAAGATGTGTAGACAAGTTTGTTGGACCACTTTTTAAAGGTGTAGGACACCAGAACTCAATTATATGAAAAAAAAAAATGTCAATATGAATAATATGTGTAAATTGAAAAATGTAGTGCTAGTAAAAAATGGTGATTGTAGAATTTATAAAAGTTGTTGGAATGTTTTTTCTTCTTCTACGATGTGTAGACAAGTTTGTTGGGCCATGTTTTAAAGTTGTTGGACACCAGATCTTAATATAACGACATTTAAAAATTTTTAATGTGAATATTAGGTGAAAAAATGAAAAATGTAGTGCTAGAAGAAAATGGTGATTGTAGAACTTATAAAAGTTGTTGGAATGTTTTTTCTTCTCCTAAGATGTGTAGACAAGTTTGTTGGACCATGTTTTAAAGTTGTTGGACACCAGATCTTAATATAACGACATTTAAAAATTTTTAATGTGAATATTAGTTTAAAAAATGAAAAATGTAGTGCTAGAAGAAAATGGTGATTGTAGAACTTATAAAAGTTGTTGGAATGTTTTTTCTTCTCCTAAGATGTGTAGACAAGTTTGTTGGACCATGTTTTAAAGTTGTTGGACACCAGATCTTAATATAACGACATTTAAAAATTTTTAATGTGAAAATTAGGTTAAAAAATGAAAAATGTAGTGCTAGAAGAAAATGGTGATTGTAGAACTTATAAAAGTTGTTGGAATGTTTTTTTTCTCCTAAGATGTGTAGACAAGTTTGTTGGACCACTTTTTAAAGTTGTTGGACACCAGAACTCAATTATATGAAAAAAAAAAAATGTCAATATGAATAATATGTGTAAATTGAAAAATGTAGTGCTAGAAGAAAATGGTGATTGTAGAACTTAGAAAGGTTGTTGGAATGTTTTTTCTTCTTCTAAGATGTGTAGACAAGTTTTTTGGACCAAGTTTTCAGGTTGTTGGATACGAGGATTCAATATAATGACAATTTTTAATTTTTAATTGTTATATTATTTTTTATATGAACCAATTTTAACTACTTAACACGAAGTCTAACAAAAGTCCAACAACGTCTCAAAATTGTATGTGTATATTTTTGGATCTGTTTTTAGGGTTTTATTTTTATTTGTAGTGCTGGTTGTGAAGTTGGCGCTACAAACTTTGAACTTGAATAACTTTTGAAATACGTTCCAACAAATTCCAACAAGTTTCCAACAATGTCCAACAATGTTATATGAGTATTGTTGGTAGAGTTTTAAAGTTTTTATTTGCATATGTAGTGCTGGCCATGTAGTTGGCACTACAAACTTTGAACTTGAATAACTTTGGAAATACATTCCAACAAATTCCAACAATTGTCCAACAACGTCCAACAAGTCCGAGTAGAGTTTGTTGGAATGGTTTTAGATTATTGTGCCAACTTTGTAGTGCCAGTTTCACGTTAGTGTGATCCGCGAACAGTGGGGTTTCAACCTAAAGGCATTTACGATATTGTGCAAACGATACAGAGAAACCCTCCGGAGCTGGGGGTTTAAATGACGGACCGGAGAACTCGCACAAGAAATATTATAGTACCTAATATGTATATATATGCATCGTATAATAATATTAATATAATATTGTGTCGTATATGGGTAACGTAAAAAATCCTATTGCGCAATGTATACATAAGGGTACACAACTGCCAAACAGCAATCCGAATCGAAGGATTTAGTAATAATATTATTATTATGTGGTATTGTATACGCGCGAGAGTCGTCGTGCAGCACACCACCTCGCAACGACTTACCATTACAATAGATACATAATATAATATTATATTATTATATGGTATATAGGACTACTATACGCACTCTCTCGCATATACCTTTACGTCTCCGACAACATTATAATAACGTTATTATTATTCGTATTGCATTGTCGTCCGCCGACTCTCTTGGCCGGACCGATATACAACTCTATATACATTATATTATTATTTACTACTATATAACATATCGCGCGTAGAGATATCCAATCATTAATAATAAACTCTCGCCGGTGTACACACGCATACAATAATAACACAGCGCACGGACACATGGCGCTGACACACACACACACACACACATACTGCATAATAATATATTATACATAGTAATTTGGACGGCTGCCGCGGTGGGAATTGCAATGCGCCTTTTCTCTTTTTCGTATTATTATTATTATTATTGTGATTTTATTATTGCGTCGTTTATTTCGGTCTCGCCTTTTGTCCGGCGCGCCGGGGCCGTTCGACACTGTTGCAGTTTGAAAAGCACATCGTTGTCGTCGTCGTCGTTGTTAAAATATCGGCTAGGCCGCGATGGCGATGACGAGCAGCTTTTCCTCGGTGCGTATGTTTTATAATATTATTATACATGTGCGGCGCTCGACTTCTATATACTTCTCCTCTCTCCGACCACCCCCTCACCACTCTCAAACTTCTCTTCCGCCAAGTCGGTTAAATACCGCGGTCACGTTTTTTCTTCTTCTCGATAATCGTTACCACGAGTGCCTGCAAGTAAATGCGTATAATATGACACACAGTAATATAGGAAAATATTTATCGCCGATATCGAACGAGACCAAAATCGGGACCTATATATACCGAGCGGTATGATATAATATTATAAAATATAGGTATTACTGCTCGCAAAATTTATTTCACCCCCACCGCCACCTCCACCCGAGGGTGTTTACTGCACGGCCACTCAAATTTCGAACAACAAGAGGATTATGGGAACCACAAAATCGCATTATCTCGGTCTGTTTGGCGCGAACATTGAACTGTTTTTTTCACCTCTCTCTCGCCCGCCACACGCGCACAATACGCACCTCTTCTTATACATTTATATTATTATTATGTTGTTGCATTCATATATTATAATATTGTTTGGCAGCGGTCGTCGACACAATAAAATGATAATAATACGGTGTAGGGATTTGAATAATTGGTAAACTCGGACAATACGCGAACTCGACACGACACCTATATATAAACGCAAATACTGCACTGGGGCAGTTTATTATGTATTATATTATTATACTGCACCGCGTGTGCCGGTCGCTGTGTTTCCGCGATCAAAACCGTTCGGGAAATCGAAGATCGTGCGTCGATGATTTCTATCAATATACGAAAAAATATTTCCCAGTTTTAATGCGAAAAATACCTCGCGGATTTATACATCAGAGAGCGTTACATATATAGGTACTTGTCACACCCCTCTCCTCCACAAACAGAAAGTCGTATTGTTATGTACTTAATCGGGTTGTAAGTATACCTGCAGCCCCGTCTATAGAGAATAACCCGAGGATTCCGACCTATTCCGTAGCATGCACCGGTATTTGTTTAATTGTTGTGACTGTTGATTTTTGCCGATCCAAGGGGTTTATACTTTATACAGTATATAACGTTTGTCCGAGTACGTTCTTGCAATATTTAATATAATAACAATATATTATACTGATTTGTACCCGACAGCATAACTCCCTTATCTGCAGCCCCCCACCATCCATCACGAAGGGTTGACACAAACAGAATTTCCACGGGAATTCCTTATAGCTGTTATAAAAACCAAGGTCGTGATAGAGATACTTCTCCAAATCGGAACCGCAGGGCCTAAAGACTTTGGATTTTCACATCCACTTGGTCAAATCACACGCCGCCACCCTCACCCACACATAAAATGTCGGGCCCCTGTACCAAATGTATTTGAGGGCTCTATAAAATATTGTTTAATATACAATAAGTATTCCTATCAAAATTTAAAAATTATAAATTCATTTCAACGGGCCCCTAAAATAGCCGGGCCCCTGAACTCCAGGTCCAACAGTCAACCGGCCCTATGGGGCCCTGTCATCACCTATATACTGACGCATGATCATAACATGATAATATTATTATGATTTAAGGCTATTTGACGCGTATCACTTAAGCGAGGTCCACCAATGACCGTGTACTCACCCAATGCATTCCGGTTTTCTGATTGGCCAGGTCTTCAAACACGCCCATCAGGGCTGCCAATGCGACGCGTTGTACAAGTGATTCGCGTGCAACGAGTGTCTCGTATCTCTAGTTGAAGTCTTCCGGCAGCGAATGCGAGGGTGTCATCGACAAAGATCCCGCTGCTGCTGAAGGAAGAGCGGCTCGGACAACTGTAACAAATAAGCCGCGAGTTAGACGGTTTGGACGTTTGGTGGATAGAAAAAGCGATGGCTCTTACGATGTAAGTACCTAACTATCGTGGTTGGTAAAAAAAAAAAAAATTTGTTAGTACAAATAATAATAAACAATAATCACGATAGTCTAAATTATTGTAAAACAAAGATGATAGTAATATATTAATATTATATAATAAATGTATATCCGGTCTAACGCTTACGAGATAACCCGTAGCTTAGCACGTTGTATATTGTAAGTATATATATACCTGTACTTGCTGCATCAGAGGGATAACAGAAATAGAACAGCACGGGAGATAATACGATAGCGCGAGAGAGCCGAATGAAAAGGTCAATGGGTGCGGCAGCGGCGAGAGCGCAGTCCGACAGATAACCGCGAAACTCCCGGGGGTTATCGCCGGCAGCGGTTTAAGACCATATACCTTTAATCTAAAGGCAACACTCTCTTTCCGGACCACTGGTCATTGTGTATATTATATTATTAAATATTATTATATATTATGTGATACCGGTATACGATAACCGGGTATTCTATATCGGCGGTCGGCAAAACGAAAAAGATTACGTTTTTTTCGTTGTTGATCCTGTTTATACGCGAGTGAGTAAAAAAAAGATGTCGATTCGGTTTCGATAACATGTTATATTATTATTTATTATGCTTATTACGACTGTATTAAATCTACTATATACATATAATATATATGCGCTACTGCTACTTTCGACGATTATCTCGAGGTAGCATATTATCTTTTATATGTATATATAGAATATAGATAGCAGTCGTCAGTCGATATACATATATAATAGTCTTCAATTATCACAATTATTCCGAGATGTGTTTACGGTTTAGTATTTCCGTGTAGAAATATTAATTGTTGAAATATGTTTTACAAATTCTAAATGTATATGCGCGGAATCGGATTATTACACTGTTTTGGACATAAGCCTGCAACTGCGGAGCCTTCATCCGATTAAAAAAAATATTCATAATACAGACATATTTTTTTAAAAATTCCTAAAGCTGTCATATAATATACTTTAGGTACACAAATAATAGAACGTCTCAATCAAATGTATACCGTGTATGAATATATACAAACAGTTTAAACATTTCTAAACCAAAAATAACATTATTATTTTTTAATTATCATTGTTAATTGTTTGTAATTATAGGGATATTTCTTGATTTTAGATAATATTATGAAACATCAAATAATAAATGCAATATAATTATATAAAATAAACAATGTACGAAGATAATAGAGTTGACAATCCAATTAAAAGAACTACATAATTGTTTTCGATAAGGTTAAGTAAATATAAAATAGATGCCTATTAATTTTTTTTTTATTTTTAGGTCGAAATTTTCTGTCTGCACTCAATTTCCTATGTCCTTTATAACCTTTAATCCGACTATAATGTGTATCCAAGTAATTTTTATTTTAAAATAAGTTTCTTATAGCTTAAGAATAATTGTATGGTCTGTGCTTTTTCTATACCTAATCCAATATTTGATGATATATTTTATGCAATATTTTGTTATCAAATCATCAGAGAATAAATATTATAATACTGATCGAACGTTTGTGTAGAAATCCGGATCGAGTTGTTGTATTAAGAATATATAGAGATACGACTACACATATTATACGAAGTATAATATGTTATAATAGTATGGAACTACTGCAACGCGTCAAAGGGATATGAATCTATAATATGTAATATTTTTGCACTTATCTCTGCAGTTTTATGATTAAAAATTGATGTATAAAATGCGTGGTATATTATATTATAAATTACGCACTATTAATGCATAATATATGTATTGTGCGTACATAAAGTTTTGTCGACGATTATAAAAAGAAACGAGTATCGTGCACATATCTTATTACAGTACACCTATATTACTCGTGTTCCAAATAATACTTTCAGCGAGTGTTTTCTTCCAACAAACTAGTTTTCTTTTATAAAACCGTATTCACGTTATAATATATTATTATATTTTTAAGACGGCAGTGTCTGTTTGTACACTCAAATAAAATCAATAAATTCCTATATTAGTCGGTATCGAATATAATATTAATATGATCGGTCACAAAAAATCGTTTTTTATTTCTACAAATTTAAAAGTTTTTAAAATATCGTGATTTTTTTCTGACACACCGCAGCGGTGACGCGTGTTATGGCTTACGAGACATTATACAGGTCCTATATCGTATATACCTAATATTATATGAACGTCGGTGTACTACCTCTATAGGTACAACGCACAAATCACATTATATGTCGATAGGTAAATAATACACAAAATATCGTCTCTTTGTCGCGATAATTTGTTATTTTTTTTTTTAACGGCGACTGCGACTCGACTATATTATATATGTACACTATTCATCGGATCATCGTCGACTGCAGTAGTGGTAAACCCAGACATGGGCGTAAAAACAAACCAAATAATACATTGTAGGTACGACGTTCTTTAGTGTGTCTAATCGATCGTCGTCGTCGATCATAGCGCCGAGGTCGGCGGAGTATATATAAAACGAAGTACCTATACATCGCGTGGTATACCTATATATCATAACAGGTACGTAGGAGGTATATATAGGTACTTGAAAACAAATGCTCAGACGAGCGGCGAATACCGAAACGCCGCGGTTATTATACAAAACGCTGCCGAGTCAGACTGCCATATCGAAATGATGATCGCATCGGACACGCCGAGCACGAGTTTTATCGCTCTTGTAGATCGCGATCGGCGGATTTGTCACGGTCGGATAGCTAATAAATCGACGCGAAAATATACTATCGACTCTATAATAATATATAAAATACTATAACTCGTATATATAATATATATATTGGGGGACGAGGTGGCCGAGCGGTCGGACACGTCGTCTGCGGCGCTGGCGGTCGCGGGTTCGATCCTCTCGACCACTGTGCGGTATTTTTCTCCGGGCAAGTCACGGTGTCCGGAGAACAAGTGCCGCCATCCCCCACTCCGGGGCATGGCAGAAACCTACGGGTGCCCCATTCAAAATTCTGCCAAAACCCAACACACACGTGTTCCTCCCCCTACCGTAATAACAATACACAAAAATAAAAAAAAACCACTAACACCCAATGGCCTATGTTGCCGCGGGTTATCTAATAAAAAAAAAAAAAAAAAAAAAAAAAAAAAAAAAAAAAAAAAATATATATATTATACATCTAACACTCGCCACGCCCACGACGCGTATTATATAATATTTAGGTATATAATATTATTTGTATGAAGAAGGTGAAAACCATTTTATCTTCTTATCCGCGAACACAACGAGAGCCGAATACATCTTGTGCATTGTGCAGTCGTGTGCGTCTTCTGCAGGGTAGTAGATTAGCCAGTCGTGTTTAAGAGCAAAGAAACTATATCGTCTGAGTATTTTAATAATAGATAAGTGCGGGATACTAGTGAAATATTCACCATGAATATCATACTCATTCCGCCATCATACTAATTAGGAACTTACCAATTTTGTTTTCTTGTTTATATAGGTATAAATCATGGGTACGCTTCATTGCTTCATATACCTATATGTCTGATATATTATATTGTGTATAAATAACAATTTTCATAAACATAATATTATATTATAATATACCGGCTATAACTATTATTATTTTCCGGAAGACTATATTGATCGAGAAATAACCGCAAAAATCGACCAAAAACATTTGTGAATAGAGTTAGGACATTTCGAATAAAATTATGTGAACTCGACGAGATCTGCTGGCGTGTAGCTATTTCATTATTTCAGTGCAGTATCTATACAGTATACTAGTAATATAATATATATGTTATATATAATAATATATAATGGGGATCAAACTTCGAAGCTTTATCATAATCTCATATCACTTATTTGTTGGCTTAGTATACTAGATTTATTGCCATTTGCCGAGTAAACAATATTTTATCTCAACCTAAAATATCAAACGTTTTTAATGCATATTTGATGATTTTCGATTAGAGCATTGGTGACTAACACACATTTGCATAGTATAAAAAAATCGTTAACTAATTTGAGATTTTAATTTTGTCTATATATTGCAAAGAGTACCTATATTATAACCATACTAGTATTTATTATTTATATGATTTTAAAATTTAAAACGTATACCTACCTATAAAATATAAATTTAAAATAATTTTGAGTATATTATACTCTTTCATTATAAAAACATGTAAATCCGTGAATAAAAAATTAATAATAATAAGTGCATAATATAATATATATATTTTTGATTTAAAGGCCATTTAACTGCTTAATAAATAATTTATTAACAGTTATTGTTAATTATTTGTTCGAGTCCTGCAGTATTAGGTATATGGGTATACCTAACAATGACGGTAAAGTGGCAAAATCAGACTATAGCAAAGACATGCGGGAAGAAACAGAATGGGTGAAAAAAAATTGCATTACATTTTTTTATATACATATAGTGCAATATTGTATACAAGCCATACATTGTAGCTTTGCGTGTATACAGAGTGATTGTTTATCGCTATTGCCAGGCAATACATTAGAATATTATATTTTATTATATTTTACCACACATTTTTTATATGATACGAGTGCCAAATTTTCAATTACACAACTTAATATAAATTATAGCATATATTGAAGACATTAAACATAAAATGTAAATAATAGAATACTGCAACGGTGGAAATAATATTAGATAGGTACCTACCTAAACTAATGAGTATAAACTACAGATGTTATATAAAGTTATTTAGATATATAAAAA